TGAGGTACACTTCAATAGGCCTTTTTATCACCCAGTTGGCCCAGTAAGATGGCCAAATCTATGCCCTTTATCATGGTTGGCGCAGCTGTATGACAGGACATGCACTGGAAAATCCGGGCTTCCCAGATTTGTGCACTCTCGCAAGGCAATTCCTTAACCTCTTGTGCATTTCATGTGAAGCATACCTGAAAATGCATGTCTATTTAGTTAGCAATTATCTTGTTGTAAAGCCGTAATCTCAAATCAAAATTCATAAGACAATACCCTTTAAATATAAAATATAATGAAATTAAAGAAAGAAATCCTAAATGATCATTGATCACAAGCACTTTCTGAGTTCGATGGATGCAGAATAACAGAAAATACGTACTGCTATGTGGAGGATGATAACTGCTGAATCTCATCGAAGTACTCATTAGTTCAGTAAAATTAAACATCAATGAACGATATGCTGCGATCCTAGAACGATTAAAGGACTGAATCCGCTTTCCCAAAGGGCTAAATGGAGAATCTTCACTTCACCTTGTCGGTACAGAATATAGAAAGACATGCGTAATCTCAAATAGATTGGAATCATAACGTATGAACTGTGACATGTCTATATCAATTGCTGACCCTCCATTAGTTAAAACCCCGTGCAACATGTGTACTACTTTAAAGATTTTTAAAAAGTCTCGTTGCATGATTTTATTAGTTGCAGATGAGGATCGGTAATAGTCAAAACAAAATGATAAAAGAGATAAATACCAAATTTGTCAACGCAATCGTCATGATTCTTGCAACATGCATCAAGATCATCGCACGGCGCCTCGCCGGGACAGCCCGTATACCCGGCTCCGCAATATTTTCCGTAATTGATTAACAATCTACATAATTTCAGAAACAACCAAGTCTATCCATTAATGATGGGAAAATAACACAGCAAGAGACTGCAAGTATAGAAAATTCTTGTAGCTTTGTCTTACTATCGCATCGCTCTGCAACGCATTGCCTGCTGCAATTGACCTGTAATTCGGAACACGCAAACGGTGACAATTTTCATGTTTATCAAAACAGATGATGGATTCTTATAAGAAGAAAGAAAAACGGATATGAAGATGAAGGGGGAGCAAGGTGGGGATTGTCAATCTCAGGGAATGAAATAGAGGACTACAGAGGGGGGGTTTGGAATCGGGGGCGCACTCGGCGACGACCGAGAGAAAGAGAAAATACGAAAACAACGACGAATGCCGCGAAAGCGCGCGAAGTGCTAAGGCACAACATCGTCGATCTTTTTCAGAGAACCCAGACGGGGCCGCCGTCGATTTCTCCTCCTGCCGGATGATCTATTATGCTAGCAAGAGGCAGGCCATTGCGAAAGGACGGAAACACCCCCCTGATTAACGGAACGATATAAAAGTGGACGGTGATCCGTTCTCGTAGCATCCTCCCTCCGGTACAATAGAACAGCAGCATGCAGCCCACGAGCGAAAAACGAATCGAAATAGAAGATCCAACTTTTGGGATAAATCAGCCCACTGATCTAAAAATATTTTATACTCAGAAAATATAAATTAACTTTTTAAAAATTTAAAAATATAGTCCGTTTCACATTAATACACAATGAGTTTATTATTAATATACAAAAATTTTATAATTAAAAATAAAAAATTTAAAAAGTGTTTATCAATTATATACAATAATATATTAATAAAATATAAAATAAAATAAAAAAATATAAAATATAATAAATGTTAAGTTATTTATTGGTTTTTATCCTATATTTAAAAAAAAAAATTATAAATAGTGACCTGAAAAAAAATAATATTTATTATAAAAATATTAAAAATAGTATTATTTAGAATGATTAAATATTAAAACATTAAATTCAAAAGTGCTATATTGCCATAATCATGTTTCTTACATTTCTTTTTTAACCACATCTCGTACGCTAAATTTGATGATCACTAACAGAAACACATTATTTGAGAGGAAGCTATTTTTATATGACAAGGATATGAAAAATAGAAACAAAGACAAAGCTAATTAAATTGATGCCCAATAACCTATAGCAAGTTAATAATCTTATCTTTCTTAAAAATTCACGAATTTAGAATGGAGACAGTGTTCTTAGAAAAATTGAACAATTCTTTTAAGTAAAGATTTTTTTTAATTAAATGATATTGATTTGATTTAAAAATTAAGATTTTTAAAAAAAATTATATTCATTGGATTATTTAAATTTAAAATTTTTAAATTATATTTTAATAAAATTTAATACTATTTTTTACTTTTTTGTGTGAAATTAAAAAACTGCACAACCTTATTTTTAAATAATATTTTGTAAATTGGACAGTAGCCCAAGTTAATTTTAAGGCTGACAGATTTTATATTAAGGTTATACTAGTCAATTACACTTACATTGATCTTTTTATCATAATTTTAATTTCTACGGTCTGTTATATAAATTTTAGTAGTATTATTTCCCTCCCTCTAATTTTCCCTTTTTTTTTGTGCCAGAGAAAATCCAAGTTCGACTAAAGGATACATTGATTTGGCGCATATACATACATACAAAATTTTATTGCTCATATTATATCTATATATATATATAATTTTTTATTATATCAAATCTTCAAGAGCATCTCGACTCCATATCCTCCTTTTTTTTTTGAACCTACAAAAACTGAAACTGTCTAAAGAGATAAGTCTCATAATACAATTATAGGGCTTTTCATGCGGTTTTATTTGCATCTTATATTATTATTATTTTGTTTCCCACCAATATGCACTTATGAAAGCAATCTTCTTCAAGGTAACGTTAGGCACCGAACGCAAGTACTTCTTTTCTATTCTGTGCTTTCGTATCTTAAAAAGAAGTCAATCCAAAACAATCTTTTTTTTGGAACCTTTTGATTCTCTTTTGCTACTACTAGTGGCCATACCTTTGAATTCTTTCCAGACTTCAGCTCAAAAGATTATGGTTCTTTCATAGCTAATGGAAACCTAAGATCCCAATTTGCAAGATGGTGTTAATTGAGTTATTGGCCTTTCCACTTCCAAGGCCACCGCAATCCCTAACTAAGAAAGGGGAATTCCAAAATAGGGGTTTCTTTCCTTGGGTAAGGTTGGTTGAAAGGATGACCTCACGTATTCAATCTCATCTTCATTCTATCATGTCCGAAAGTGGAATTCAAAAGCATCAACAAAATTGCCCTTCCATATAGATCATCATGGCATGAATTCAAATTTTCTTGCTGTGGTCCCTACTAAAGCTAGCTCCTACTCTTCCTCTTGCTCCTTCTTCATCCTCATTGGTTGCTCCTTTTGACATAAAATTCTTGTATCAGCCGCTAAAGAGAATGGCTATAAATCTCTCTCTCTTATGCAATATTTTAAATTTAAGACAACTATTGACTTCTACTTGTAAATCCTTTGGTGCACTTGTTCTTATGATACAGTTTCTTATGAGATATTGACTTCGTGAGCTAGCCAGCCCCTTGCTTCCATTTGCCTATCTAATCATTTGAAGGAAAATACAACCTTCTCTTTGAACTTCTCTAGTTTCCAATATTGGCAACAACCCTCTTTGGGGATATCTTACCTATTGATAGAATTGAATTGCCTTAATGGCAGAAGTTAATTAAGGAAAGATCTACATATAGGATTCGAACCTTCACACTTCTAGAATTCCCACAAGACCTCTTGTATATACCTAGACCTTCTACTAAGCACTTCAGATACTTTTGCTCCCTCTTCTTGGTAACCCCAATATAGAAGGATAGAAGTGCACAAGAGGATCTTTTGCTGTTTGATGACCACCTATGCTGCTATCAAGATGAAGCAGTGATGAGGGCCTCATTGGAATAGGTGGGGGAGATTAGGATGACTCGTGACCTTGGGATGGAAATAGCTGAAGAACGAGGTTAAGAGTTATCTAAAGGCTTATAGAAGATTCCAGAGCACTAATGGAGAAGGAGTGTAAGTTGCCTCAATCTATAGGATTTCTTTGACCAACTAGCCAATTTCATCTCTTATATCCAAAGATAAAAGGAGGCCTAAGCATTCAACCCCCCCATTAAAGCTAAAAAGAATAGAAGAGTTGGCAAAAAAAGCTCAATCCTGACGACATACAAGCCTCTAAGAAGCAAGCAATTGCAAGTTGCAAGTTGCAAGGATGAAAGGCCTTGCTCAATGGAAATTTGAAAATTCATTTACTACATTCTTCGAGAACTAGCTTCATCTATTAGACCCAACTTTTGTTAGTTTTGTATTTTAGTTTTATTCCAAACTTTTTTTTGGTTACCTAGACCTATTGAAGACAATCTTGTCTAAGATATTTTCGAGTAGTAAATGTAAATATCTCTTTTAATAGAAATTCAAACCTTAATTTACCTTACTATTTCAAACTTTGCTCGCCTTGTAATTTCAAAAGAAGGAAGAGCAAATAATGATAGGGCCTTATATTACGGTTTCACTTGGGCCAAGAACAGATAGTTTCATATCTTACTTTCTAAGCCCATATGTGAAACGAACTTAGCCAGTTTGATCCGCAAAAACATGGAACTTATAAGAGCTCGAGCTGGCCGCTAAATCCACTTGCATTCCTATTCGGGGCATCCACGAAGGCCTTGTATGTAGTAAGCCGTGTGAAAATGTTGCTGCCATAAGTTCACAAATTGCAAATATGAGATTCACAGATGTTCAAGTTGTAATGGAAAAGGAAAACTACATTTCATTTTTCAATCAACTATTCATATTATAAGTTCAGAATTTGAAAAGAAATGCTTTGAATTGGAAAAATAAGAAAGAAAATTATTATCATAATTCATTATTTATAATTTTAAAAAGTAATAATTCAAAACGAACATAATTTCGCGTAAAATCTAGGAATATACTCATCCACCCAAAAATCCTACAGAGAACACTATTTTGGGCCATCAGCTCACTAGTCGTTGGCGAAAGTAATGTACTCAGGAATTTTTCATCATTAACAATGAAATCCATCATGGCCCAAAATATCAAAATCAAACGATGAATTTAACGCCAAGCTGGGTTTATTTATAAGTTAATCCAAGTTTGATTTGCGCGAATTCATGAGAAAGGGAGATCAACACCACCTTCCAACTAATGGCAAAACAACGCAAGGCGAATCCCGCTTCAAATACATGGGCTTATTAAGGCTTATCAAAGTTCAGCACCAGTTTTGTCACTTTCGTTAATCTAAGATCAAATTTCAGGGGAAAAAAAAAAATTGGCTTGTAGAAGGCACCATCATGCACACAAGTATAAATGGCCAGAGCAGATCGCTAACGAGTTTGAGAAACCCCCTTCCCCACGTTTTCTTTTTCCTCGACAGAACCTCCAAGTAAATTTTGAGGTGCTTATTCTCAAACGTAGTAACCCGTAAAAGTGAATCCCCTTCCCACAATTTCACCGGCACAAAACCAAGCAAAGCACTCCAGGCCAAACAAAGCAGCAATGCTTACATCTTCAACCTTCAGTTCTTGTCTGTTCTTCCATAAGTGCTTGACATGATCAAGCTCCTTCCAAAATGCCTCGCAACGACCAGGGATGCTGTGAGCAATTGATGTACATTAGTTATGACAGCCAAAGCATACAAAAGTAAAAGAGGCTAGATTCACAATAAATCTACAAGTCTCCAACTGAGAAGTACCCATGACATTCAAGACAAGGGCACAACTGCAGATTTTCAGAATCCATTCTCATCACTTAGCCAATTCATTACTGAAAGTGAACGCACATAATAATCTAAAATGAAACTATGGAAGCCTGATCTAAAGATAATACACGTATCAAACACTGGCATCAAGATATTAAGTAGATAACATAGCAAGGTCAAGTGGTGTAGGCAGCAAGGACACACATTAGAAGACAGCAGACACAGGGTGGTGGCTTTGACATTGTATTATTACTAGAGTACTTGCTTCAATTAACAAATCTTTTAAGTCTCACAAGCACATTACAAGGGCATCTCATTTTAAGTCATAAAGTCAAAGGATAAACCGTAGGATAATGAATTATTATTAACGTTAAAAATGGCATCATGCAGTGGCAGTGAAGTGTCTAGATTAAAACATATTCCAGTTATATTGTATCCATTATATTTTTTTTTAAAAATCCAAAAATCATATCTTCAGAGTTCATTTTTAGGTAACATTTAGAAACTCCATTGTCATCTACACTCCAGAAGAACTTTCTTGACACACAATAAAATATTCTTTCCCTAAATTTTAATCCAAGAAACACATATTAAGAATGTATAAAAAGCAGTTATATATAGTATATGACTCGAACAAGTTATGTTCATGTCCAGTGACTATTAGCTATAAATTCTCCTTGGGTTTGGAACTTGTGCAAGCAGTTGTTCTGGTTAATTAACAAGCATGTCCGGCAAGTGCAATAACTTATACATGGTTATGCATACAATTGCAACTTAGTGCACGCAACTGGTTTATTATATTAGGAATATGAGTTTAAAAACAGCATTAATAAAATGGTAACAACCAAGCACCATACGTCAATCAACACGAGAATAAATGAAATTATACATCCTGTTTATGACATAATGAGCAAACCACTCACAACATTGGCAAGATATGAATGTCCTGAAATGGATCTAAGTATTTAATTACAAAGGAAGAACTAACATTGATCATCATCCCCTAGCTATTTGATGAAGAAAAAGCAAATTCAGTTTGAATGCCTAGTTAAGATGCTTAATCACAAGACTATATACTTCCTTTGTCTCCCTTCTGCATGAGCGCACAAGTTTTCAAATGCAAAATATGAGCCTCAGACACACTAGCCAAGATCAAATTCGCATACAGAATTCAACAATATAGTTCAGCTTAACAAGTTCTATCCTGAAAAGGCCTAGTATGAAGTATTTTATAAAGTAAACACTGCCATAACCAACATCATGAAAGTACAAGGACAAGTTTGAAGAAAATATAACCTAGCAAGGCGAGTGTAAAACAATTGCTTTGCCAGTAGGTTGCATTTTTCCACGGTAGGTGGCTCCTGAATGTATTGCTTGTTCTCCTCTAACAATTGCTTGTAGTAAGGGGTCCCATGGTTAACTACAAATTGCGATGCTTGGCGAGCTTTGGATTGCAACTGCCGCAACTTAGATGCCATCAGCACTGCAAATTAGGCGAGAAAAAATCTGAATCCTAACAAGGGAAAACAAATATAAAATAACCCTTAAAACAATCAAAATCTCTTGAAATTGATTATTTTGTCGTTCCTAAAATTTGATTTGAATTCCACTATTTAATGGTAACATTGAGGGCAGAACTGGAACTTACCAAGACGGGTCTATCATATACTTTATTAAGTAGAACAGAATATGACATTTTTAATATACTGTTAGCTTGTTAAGTCTAACCATTAAAGGAATGGACCAAGAATTTCTTTTGTCTTTCACCAGCAAGACAAAAAGAACAAGAAGGAACTCTTTACCAGAGATGATAATCCCAAACCATAGAAATTCGATTCAAAAAATCTAATGAACACCCCCCAACTATGAAGCATAAATGACTTTCAGCTATATTTGTTCCAGAAACCCTTTGAAATAAACACCAAGTCTTAGACTGCCGATGCAGGTGTCCTCTAGGTCTGATCACAACAACGGACTAAAAACAACAGCTCACCTTACAGTTTTCAGAGGGACAGATTGTACTAAAATTGCCAAATTAGCTAATGGGCACAGAATCAAAACTCTATAATTTCAACATTTTCGTCTTATACAACACATATAAACACACAATGATTTCAAACCACCTCCCGTAACAAATCGAAACTTCAAGAGCGAAATATAGAAAATGAACGGTAGAGAAGTAGATCAGCCAAAAGGCTCAAGATCTAAAAGGCCAGGGCAAGTCTCCAGGAGCTAACATCAATCGGATGCATAGAATTTAATCAAAAAAGGCAAAATGAATTTCCGAGGACTTTACCCTGGGCGCCAGTTGAATGCGAAATCAGATATTAGTCAGAATTGGCCCCACCGCCGCTACCGTACGGCGCTGCTAGCAGAATGCGAGGAAGAAAGGTAGTGCGGAGATTATATCACAAAAAATTGAGATCAGTGTCCGGAGTTAAAGTTTTAACCTTCGTGAAGCGCATGGCACCAGAGACCTGATACATCACTTCGCTCTCTTTTTGTTTTTTTTGACCCCTCAGTGCTTCTTTTGGGCTGATAAGACAACTTTGGGCCTCAAAATTGACCTAGTAACCTAAACAACATAGCAAAAATACCCACAAATCCGCTAATCTAAACCCTTTCTCTCAATTGGTGTTTTATGGTTTGCCGCCATTGCGTTGCGGTCCCATGGGATTAGTGTACATCTGATTTGAGATTTGAATCATTTAAATATCAGTGTTGCCGTGTTGGTTTTATTTCGAAATATTTGTTACAGCAGTATCAGACCAAAAGAAAAGATCAGAATTCGTTATATTTTATTTTACTTGATTTTTAAAATTGAATGTAGTTTTTTAAGCATCAAGCATGAAATTTTATTTGTCTACTTTAAATTGAATGCTACCGATGACAATTGGTTCAAACAGTTGAGCATTTGTGTTTCACACTCCGAGTGGAAAAAATATTGTTGGAAGAGTTTTATATTTGCGTGATTTGACCTGACACAATTCAAATTAGTTAAAACAGCAGGTGAAACAAACTAATCATGTCAGAATCCAATTCTGAAGAATCGTGTTTTGGAGTGAATTGACTTTAAAAATTATTTTTTTATTTTAAAAAAAATCATGTAATAGAATTTCGATAGGGTTAAAAATCTACTAGATTTATTTTTTGAATTAAACTTGAATAATGAATAGTATTATGGGACTCTTGAGTGATATTAATTATTTTGTCTAAAGCTTTAAAAACTGAACTAATCATTAAAGCAAATAAAATAATGATTTAAGGATCAATAACCGAACTGTGATTAAACCATGGTTTTACCGGAATAGGTGGGTGGCTTTTTTTTCCTTGAAAAGTGTAAATGACATTTGCTTATTTTCTATATTTTTTTCTTGAAAAATGACATTATTTTAAATGTTTTCTCCTTTTTTAATTAATGAAAATCTAATATATAATTAGTAATATTAATACTACTTTTATCTTTAAAATTTTATAAAATATTATCTCTAGTCTTACATCTCACATGTAAAATTATAAATAAATTAAATTAATTATCATCAATGTAACCACAATTTTATTGCGGTCCGACTGGTGACCCTTAAATTACCACAATTTGATTGCAATCTAATTAGTGACTCTTAAACTATTGCGTTATCTGGTTCAACAATAATTGATCCGACTTTTAAAACCTTGCTTTTTTGTGATGCTAATAGCTAATATATTGTTACTATTGGTGGTTTTGATTCTTTTTACATGAAATCTGACACGCAAAAGTGGTAAATCATTGTTAAGATGGTTCTACGAATCCCATCTATGTTTTTTGATACACTTTAATTTTTTGGAGTTTTCATGATAGTGACAACATTTCTTGTTTTTTAGTTCTGTTTTGAGACTTGGGATGGATGATCTTGATGTTGTCATTTCTATTCTTTCTTTGTGTTATTTGTATTGGACTTAGGGTTTTTGTTGTATTGTTTCTCTGGTTTGTGTTTTGTTGTTAGTTGTGCTTGGTTTGTCTTCGCAAACCCTTTGCTTTTCAATGATATTTCATGTTTCTGGGGGGAAAAAATAACAGATACAGATATTAGTAGAGTTATTATATAATAATAACAATATATATATATATATATAGATAAGATCAAACTGTTTTTGTTGAAATCTAGGTTGACCCGTTTTACTAAATGGACCTTAATGTAACGTAACGGACAATTCAAAGTGCATTAATTTAGACTAACGATAGTGCTCAATTCTCATTTTTACGTGGCGCTTGGATATAACGTGGACATACATAATAAAAAATATAATCATAACAATATCTTAGACTAATCTAACTTTGACGACCAATTAATATTTCCGATATTCATAGGCCGGGGGGGGGGGTTTACCCGTTTGGCAACTCCAAGATGTTAGCGAAAGACATAGTTGACTGTTTTTTTTTTTTTTCCGGCAAACACATGGTTGACTATAATCGATCGGATATAAAATCATGTTTAGTGAGGAGTCGGGGATGATTATCATGGTACAGCATACAATTTAGTTTGCAGACCGGGTTTCAAAGATGATAAACCAAATTCAATGTTCTCCAATATATGTAATTATGGTTTAAGACGACAGTTATATTGCGATTAGTTGAAAACTGACAGGATTATATAGTGAAGTCAAATCATACACTCAACGCAGTTATATTAAATTAAACATTAATTAATGAAACCCTTGATAACTCTATGATTAAGTGTGCTGGCTTCGATCGGCAAATGTTTACAAAATCTAACAATAATAGAATATATACCACACGTGCTGATCCCAACGGCGTGCTTCACTTCTGAACTCGGTTTTGCTAGCTTGATAATTCATTCATTCATTTGTTTATTGTTTTTTTGGGAATGTGCCGCAATGGATGCGATATATATATATATATATATTTAAAAAAGGAACTAAATATAGCTCTAAGTTTGGTGAACAAATTAAGATTAATTAATATAACCAACCTTTATTAGTCAATAAGCGATCTCAATCAGACGCTTTCACGTGGTGGACCATGATTTATCATCATGCAAAACACTTAAAAGGCAAACAGAGTATCTTATGTGCGTAATTATGTCTTAATCAATCCATGTAGGCATGAAAAGGCAATGACATTATATAAACATCAACTTTCAAATACGAGTTATTTATTATTTTATTGCCACCAACACTGTCATGCAGTGAAAAAGATTGGTTTTTAGTTGTTAGTGTTGTACATGCCTGTAATTTTCAAACACATGCAATTGAATGTAAATTGTTGTAGTAACTAGCTAACTTAGCTCGAGCATATAAAGAATCACTATCATTTTATATTAATTTTAATCAGATAGCGACTAAGTCAAATGCTTGTAGAACAAGTTAGACACGGAATTTTTCATAATCAGCTGTATATGCGAAATCATACAGAAGAAAATTCTGGGAAACTTGCTTAAGTAAATTAAGCAAGCAAACAAGGGTACACATCAATTACAGCTTGATGTTATGATTTCCTGAAATCGATCTTGGGTTTTGCTGCCATACATGCCCAATCTAAAGATTGAATCAAAATGGAAGAACCATTTTGAAAAAAGGAAAAGATGAAAAGTAATAAATGTAGACTTCTATATACTTGCTCTTCGGTCCATGAAGTTATGTATTCTGTCGAGTGCTACTTCCAGAGTCTGCTCACTCATATTTGCAAAACAAACCCTGAACCACCCTGGTTCGGAACAATGGCAAGAAGAGCCCGGAGATATATTTAGCCTCACTTCATGCAAAATGGAATTCCAAAGCTCCAATTCACCTTCTCTCGTTGGTTTCTCCAACAAAGGACTTAGATTCATCCAGCAAAACAACCCTGCATTCCCCTTCAAGCACTCTATCCTGGCTCTTCTCAACCCATCAATGATCATCTCGTATCTCTTCGTTAGCCTCTCTCTGTTGGTCTTTATATAGTTCTCGGTGAACTCCTCGTCCGATAGCATGGTGGCCAACAGGTGCTGTGTTTGTGAAGAAATTAAGGTGAAGCTGGACATCCTACGAGCCGTCGTAACAATTTTGTCGTTGTATGAATAAATGGTTCCAACTCTAAAACCCGGAAGGCCAAGGTCTTTGGAGAGGCTATAGACAATGTGAACTCTCTCCGAGTTCTTGTACTCACGAGCTTCAAGAATTTCAGCCACGCTTACGAACTCGAAGGCCGAGAAGGCGGATCCCGAGTAGATCTCGTCCGACACCAAGTGGATGTTCTTGCGAGTCACGAAGTCGAGAATCTCCTCCAGAACTGACCGTTGGATTGTGGCGCCTAATGGGTTCGATGGGTTCGTGATCAGCACGCCTCTCACCTTGGTGTTCATGGACTGTGCTTGTTGATACGCAGCCTCCAAGGCTTGGGGAGTGATCTGGAAATTGTTTGAGCTGTCACAGTGAATTGGAATGATTTTTACCCCAGTTCTCCATCGCAGGTCCCTATCAAATCTGCAATATTAGCTCTCTCAGTAGTTCAATTACGAGCTAGTGGGGAAGAAAGATATATATATATATATATATTTGGTGGCTGAATGATTTGTACCGTACCCTGGATAGTATGGGGTTGGAACGAGTAAAGCGTCTCCTGGGTTGGCGAGAATGAAGGTTAAAAGTTCGTTGGCTGCGGTGGCGCCGGCAGTGAGGACGACTCTATCAGGGTCGAATTTGGCTCTCCCGCCTCTTATTTGTTGCATGAAGCTTGCCATTGCGGTTCTGAAAGATTTGAGGCCGTGATAATCTTGAAACAAAGCGTTCTCTCTGAACCCAGGTGCTCCTTTTCCCCACGTTGACGCCTCCGGGTGCTGTTCCAAGTACTTCTCCACCAAATCAAATGAAACCTGTACAATAGTAGAAAATATGATATCAGATGTTATCCCTGAGAGAGCTTGTGGATTAACTTATTTGGTTCAAATTACATATAATCTAGTATAAACTTACTTGATTTTCTGCCAATCCCATTTGTATCACTCCGGAGGGGTTACTGAATTCGTCATAGGGGTTCTCATCGTATGCTTTCCACCCAGCAAAATAGGGGGAGTTCTCCCCGTGAGTTTCAGAGACTGCAACGTTTGAAAGCTCCACACAAGGTTGCTCGATCTCAAGACCCATTATTTGACTAGCTAGCTTTCTCGCAAAAATCCTCACCACAGGCACGATTGCAGAAAGCAGAAGAAAACTCTGGTGGCCTGGGTGAGGGAGGATAGAGAGAGATAGAGAGAAGCTAGCTGGCTAGTTGAATGAAAGTTTTTGTCAAACTCATCCTATTTATATTGCGAGGTTTTCATGGGCTCGTCAGAGTGGAAAAAATAAAAATTCCCCTCAACTTGCCTGCTTATCTGCCAAAATAAAAAGAGAGAATCAATAGTTGATTCTCTAAAGTCGGCAAGATATCAGAGGGCTTGCCTTTTACAGATATATATCCTCTTATCAATACTTGTACAAGTGTTGCTTCGGTC